TGCCTGTGGTTTGGTGCCAAAAGATGAACAATTGAGTGATGAAGAGAGTGAAGAACCTATTGATTATCCTGATGAGTCAGGGAATGGTACAAACGAAAGAATGGAAGAAAAAGGACCTGCATGTGGTGAACAAAGTCTTGGCCAATGCTTAAGTAAGTATTCTATCAAATGCCTTAGAAAAATCAGTGATTCAATACATCAGTCATCAGATTGAGTCAATAATTTTCATATATCAAGAGATTAGCTCTAGTTCATTTACCAGTTTGAATACCATGTTGCCAGTCATTAATGTACTATTTTAGTTCGGAAGATAAAGTCCAATCGGATCTGGCTGATTTGTTGATATTGATTTCGTTAATGTTCAGAAGTATTTCTGATTTTTGTATTTCAAAAAAAGAAATTTTAAGATCATTGTTATATAGGTAATTAAAATATTACTATTTGAAACATTGTGATTATCAATTAAATATGTTTTCTGAAAAATTTATTTGAAGAACTGTACTATTTGTTGCTTGTCATTTGCTATGTCATCACATTCGACATTGCTTCAAATTTCTTTTTGAAATTAACATAATTAAAAAAAAGTCTTTATATTTTCACAAATATGTTTCAATCCCTTTTAAATATTTGCGTTAGTCACAGTCGATAATCATTTTCGACTGGGATCGTGGCAAGTTAACTGTGCTTCCTGAAACCACTCTGAAAAGGTGTAAATAGGCCCACACAAGGAGACAAGGGGCGGGCTAGTGAGATAACATATCTTCCAAGTTCCTCTTGCGACACGACTTGGCCAGGCGGGATATAGTGCGGAAGTTCACAGGAACGCAAGAAGTCTGAAGAGTGGTTCGTACGTCTGGATGAAGTCGTAGGCTTCCGCAACCAGAGTCATGTGGGTGATCTGGGCTGTCCGGGTGACGCCGCGTCGAAGGCTGAGTTGCCGACGTTTCGACCATCCTGTCGTGGTCTTCCTCAGGGCTGGTATGCGCCGTGATGGTCAGCGCTCGTGTTTATATTAGTCTAGGCCGTGTGCTATTGGCTGAAGCAGCGGCCAATCGGAGGCCGCCAGTTAGCAGCGCGGGGGGTCAAATCGGGTGGCGCGTGATCGGCGTGGAGCGTCACCCGGCCCAGATCACCCACAGCCCAGATCACCCACATGGTTCGTACGTCTGTTTCTTTGACACCATGGAGTCAGTGACAAATGTAACGACTCCGCCATGTAGGTTTTCAACACACTTGTTTTGGCCTCGGACTCTTCTAGGCGGGCGGGCGGGAGCTAACCCACTCGATTAATTGCTCGGACTAGGAATTGAGTGATGAAGAGAGTGAAGAACCTATTGAATCTCCCCCTCCAGGATGGGGGGGGGGAATTCACGGCGGGGCAGCGCAGTGACATCTCCCCACTATATCTTGGTGTCAAGCCTGGTACCCCAGTGAGGTGTCCCCTTGTTGGACTCCCATGGTAGGCGGGGAGCACCGAGACGAATCCGTATCAATTCGAAGTATAAAATAAACCACTTGCCCTCTTCCGGAAGGAAGATGCGATGTTTTGAGAGAACGGTGGATTTGAGTAGTTTCTTCTGTAGGGAAGAAAATATACCCAGGAAGCCACGTTTCCTTTTGATGGCGTGCATGAAAGAAGGGAAAACATTCCAATGTATTAGTGCGGTTCGTCTCGCGCGAGCCATTGAGGACAGTTTCAGTAAACTCCTAGCCGTGGTGCGTCAGAGGAATGGTACCATTCAGAGGTCAGAGGACGGCTCCCTTCGTTTCTAGTAGATTTTGTTTCGCCGAGATTTTTCTGCGTCCGCCTTGGTGACACGTTATCCTCAAATGATTAGTAAAGAAACTGTGTTCCCCAGGGATCAATTCCGTCACTCTGTTTGCCATTGCTATCAATAGTATCGCATCAGTAATTCGAAAGCCTGTGAAAGCATAGCTCTTTGTTGATGACTTTGCCATATTTTGCTCCTCAAAGAGCATTTAAGTTATTGAGAGGCAGTTACAGCGTGTCCTCAACGAACTGCGAGAATTGGGCGATAAATCCTGGATTCAAGTTTTCCACCTCAAAATCCAGTTGCATGCACTTCTGTAGAATATATCATCTCCTTGATCATACTGATCTTTTTTAGGGGGTCATTATCTTACCTTCGTCGAATTTGGCACTTTCCTTGGCCTGACATTCGACAAGAGCTTAACATGGTGAAAACAAATTCAAAACTTGAAGAACCGATGTGTGCCACCATTGAACCTACTCCTAACCCTTACTGGGAGATTACGGGGCGGTGTATTGTTTATGGGTCAACGTCTCCATCGACCCTCCGCTCATTGAATACCGAACACAATGTTGGAATATACTGGTAAATCAGCACGAGTCGCATTGAATGCCTCTCGCCTGAGGCTGGTGAACCATCCCTGAGCCGAAGACGACATATTGTCATTGCTCCTATGGTGCGAAAGTATCAGTCTTAAATATTCCTTCGCGCCGAGCAGGTCTTCACCCGCGTCACAGGATACCGTACGCCCTCAGTCCGTCGTTGCCCCATCTTCCGGGTATGCGTCTCTACACGCTCTTGCAGAAACTAGTTATAAAATTTTCCCAGTGTTCGTGAACCCCCCTCCCGATGTCTTGTTCCCTCTTGGAAGCTTCTTCGGCCTAATGTGGACCTGAGATTATCACACTTCTCCAAATCCTCAGCTCCCCCAAGTATATTTCTGGTGGAATTCCAGGGGGACGAAAACCATGTATCTCGGCTACAACTTCATATTCACTAATGGTTCCTTTCAGAATGGTAATGTAGGGTGTGCCTTCTACTGGCACATTGCTACGCGGAGTCTTCGATTAGACTCTTCGTGCAGCGCTTATACTTCAGAAAAATATGCGCTCTTGGAGTCACTTAAGTTCGCCAAATCGATGACCTTAAAAGAAGCTGTGATCTGCAGTGATTCAAAAAAATCGCTCCTGCTTCTCTTCTTGTGACCCTCTGACAATAATCATTAATACCAAATCCATAATTCACTGGTTCGTCGTTATAATTTGGTTTTTGGTTGGATCCCTAGTAACGCTGAGATAATGGGGAAATAAATTGATGACCAAGTAGCAAAGCTCGCCACAAAGAAAACTGCGGTAGTCATCCTCAGTCCCAACAAACGATACCAAGGTGTTTATCTAACGTATTCTCAGTGCATGGCAGAGTGGCAGAACTCACTGTCATTTCTCTCACGGACGTCTCCGAGGTGGCTCACCCCCTACTTGCGATAGTTGCGACCTAGCGATGTTTTGTACAATTACACATTCCACGCACTAATTCCTATTTTTAACTTGCCAATTTGCCTATTTTTTGTAATGTAATCACTAAAAAAACTGTCATCCTCAGTGGCTAAACAAAATTAGATACTGATCGTTCGGCTGCTCGATATTTGGAATAAGAGAGCCCTATTTGGGCCTATTGGCCGGATCATAGTCCCATTCCATGGTTTTTTAATTTTTCCCTATCTTACGGTCTATGTACGCCAGCTCTATATCCTATGACAGTCTACAAGAGGGTTTGCATGGCCAAACTACATATACCGTACCGTGACCACGCCCTTGCAACACGAATGGCTGTAGTTAACGGAAGCTGTGGCATATAGAAAGCCACCGTCAGTCGCCCTTTTTTTGGCAATTGAATTCGAATTATTGTACGGTTTTGAATGAATTTTTCGTCTACATTTTTCCCTGTTTCATATATTTAAGATTTAACTTAGAACCAGTAGCAATATTTTAAGTTAGAATGGGTGGTTTTCTCTTTTGGAAGAACATTGCATCTCAGTTACAATTTCTGTACATTCCACTATTTTGGTACGATAATAATTTTAACACTATCAATACTCTTAGTTTGGCCAATAGTTATATTAAATTTGAATTTTTTAAACCCTTTTTAATGACATTGGTCCTTTTTGACAAGTCTGAACAGGTCTTTTACTTGACGTAAGTTCCACTTTACTGTGTGAAGAGATGGACTAGAGTAATATGTTCCCCTTTTATTTAATGTGTTGAGGGATAAAAATCAAAATGTATAAATTTTTATCCATTCTATATTTTCGTTTAATAAATAAAGTTACATAAGCAATGACAATGGTTTCGAAAAATAAGAATAGCAATTTTGGGGCAGAAACAGTAGAGACCTACTGTTGGATTGTGTGAAACAGTCATTTGAACGCTTGTCAAATATGTCGTCATATCATAAAAACAAAACATGAATTTAGAATATTTCTTAATACTTATGACAATCGAAATCCTTGATGCTTGATATTGATCCTTGCATTTGATCCGTGTGTTTTCTGCGTAAAGTCATTCAATTGTAGATCTTTAAATGATGACTTGCAGTTTTTTAACATCTGAGTAATTGAGTAATAACTCTGAGGAAATGTTTACTTGAGCCGCACGTTTCCGCTAGTTTTATGAATAAAATAATTTTGCCCGAATCTCCTCGGCACATTTCGTCGAGCTAGTGACCGTAATGGCAATAGCACTTTCGTCTTTAATGATTACTTCAATGTTAATTTGTAAACCGAACTTCGAAAATGAATTTTCTGACACTGTAAAAACGTTTAATACAAGTCTTTCTAAAACTTCCATTCTTTGAGAGTTGGTACGGTTAAATGATTGGCGAATGGGAAACGTGGATAGTGTGAGAATGTAGTAACAACGCTACAAGTACATAATGAAAACGGCCAAACCTCTCGCAGGATCCGAACCCACATCCATTGGCGGTGGACGCCTAGACGTTGCACTTAGCCTCTGCGCCATCGATGCAGTTCCATCACAAATCGCACCTTAATACGCGCCTCTCTCTCTCTTCTGAGCTCTTGTTTCAGAGATTAGCTCTGGTTAGCCAAGACCGCCCGAAGATCCCAGAATTTCTCCTGTTGGTCTTCTCTGTCGCAGACAGATCCAAAAGAGTACCGAGACTTAACTGACACTGAGCAATGTTGGTAAGCAACAATGCATATCTGTTTAGGAGCTGAAGGGCTCCCGCTGGAGAACGACCTGGCAACGCCGCAGCGGAGTGGAGTGCGGCTGTGGGGTCGTGTGGCGCGGGAGAGCACGGCGCCACTGCAGCTGCCCGAGGGTCGGGGCGAAGAGCCCCTCCCGAGCGCCAAGGGCCGCAAGGCGCTTGCGTCGTCCAACAGCCTCGCCCGCCTCGAGCCCTCTCACCACAGAAAGCACAGCTGCGACGTTTTGCGGAGCTTCCTTCATCCAGCGCTGCCATCTTGTAGCTCACAGTCGCACGCACACGGGAGAGCGCCCTTACAGATGCAACGTGTGTGGTAAACTATTCGTTCAATCGGGGACCCTCTCCAAGCACTATCGCACGCACATGGGAGAGCGGCCGTTTCATTGCGACGTGTGTGGTAAAAGATTCGCCGAATCGGGTACCCTCAGCATACACTACCGGACGCACACGGGAGAGCGACCGTTCACATGCGACGTTTGCGGAGTTTCCTTCGCTCACCGCTCTAGGCTCGTCACTCACATTCGCAAGCACACGGGAGAGCGACTGTTTCGTTGTGACGTCTGTGGTAAACGATTCGCCAATTCAGGTACCCTCTCTAATCACTATCGCACGCACACAGAACGGCTGTTCTCTTGCGAAGTTTGCGGAGTGTCCTTCACTCGGCGCGCCCTTCTCGTCGCTCACAAACGCACCCATACGGGAGGACGACCGTAAGGCTGACATTTGCGGAAAGGTTTCACTAGTTCCAATGGATATCACAAGCAGGGACGTGAGGAAAAGGTCAGGTGATGGCTGCAACAGCTGGTAACCAAAGCAAGTAGTATTATTAAAGAAGGAATTCAGAATTGTAGTTAAAAAGGGTCATTGTTTGTGAATATCTATTAATTTAAGCTGTGACTTCGTAGTCCAAAACCATTTATGAACGCGATGTTCGCGTTCGTTCCTGTGCTTATACCTTGTTCAAATATGTTATTGTTTATTGAAGAATATATTTTTGTCCCACATTTCAACAACTTGAATTCATTGTTGTGCGATTGTGCGTAGTACCCTGAAATGAACTCGACCGGCCTGAAAACGGATCGCCAGTGTAGACGCCGAGCGTTGGAGGTAACACCCGCACTGAAGGAATTTCACTGTGGGGTAACGGCGCCAGGTGACTACACGAGTTGCGTGGAGCCGCATACGTCGCCGGCTCAGGCGCGCAATAGCCCGGCGACGTAGGCAACGGCGGCCGAGGGCTCCCCGATGTGACGCGGCGTGGAGACGGAGTGGTCGAGCGCAAGCGCCCCGCCTTTCCGGCGCACGCACATCGTGGTGACGTATGCTGTGACGTCAATATTCGCGCGTGTGTGTGTGTGTGTGTGTGTGTTTACTCTACGTATACTATAGTGGTTAGGCGGAAGAGCAGGCCCTATGGCCTGAGCCTCGCCATTAATAAAGACATTATTATTATTATTATTATTATTATTATTATTATTATTATTATTATTATTATTATTATTATTATTATTAATATTAATATTAATATTATTACTAATAACCCATCTTATTGATTAGCTAATTAATTCAAATGAAGATCGTATTTCCAACTTCCAGTACAAATGCATGCCAAGTAAAGCGAGTTACTTTTTTGTTAGCAATGCAGAAAAATGTACTTGCAATTCGTTTACCGATGCAAATGAGTTTTGTATAATTCGGAAGCGAAAGTGTTAATATTTTTCAAATATTGCATATCTCGCGATTTTTTAAAATTTATTTTTATTTATTTATTTATTTATTTTAAGTTTTTACTTATCTTGGGGAAGGGAATGACGGGAAGGAATTCTGGAACTCAAGAAAACGTGCGCAGATAATCTTCTCCCCAATGCGTCACAGTTTTTACTGGTTTCTTTAAAAATTTTTTTTACTAAATAAATCTAAATCTAAAGCCCTATAGGCAACCAAGTTGGGTAAGATAAAGTTTTCTATAACACCAGTTTAACACAACCTTACAGTTCTGGTGAAGATTGTGTAAATAATAAAGGTAATAAAAATTTGTGTATAATGCCATAGGGTAATTCATATTGCATATAGGATTTAGGGTAAAAGATTGGGTACCGTTATGCAGTATTTATTTCAGATATTCAAATAATCAAGGGTTACATAACCTGAAATAATATTCACAATGCCAATTACATACACATTTAGATGCTATAGTCAACTACCTATGACAAAACCATGTGCACTTCATGAATAATTTAGATATCGTTTTGCAAGAATTAAAAATAAAAGAATATAAGATGCCCTCTCAATGGGAGATATGTTTTATGGTAGTGACAAAAGAGCGTCGGAAACGTCATTGACGTCCGTTGGTTGGCAGGTCACACGAGCACGATTACCGTCTCGCAACTTACAAAAGAAAAGTGAAGATGGATTCAAGCCATTAATAGCGAGCGCTTTTTGAAGGGAACATTTTACTCGCATTCAGAATTTATGCAACCGTAGTTAGGCATTTCTTTCCGAATGTGAGAGCCGTCTCTCACAAATATACTCTCGAAATTTCATGATCTTATTTAATAGCAAAATACCACTGTGAAATGTACTATACTACCATAAAAAAAGTTTGTATGCGCACTTCATAAATTGATTTTTCAATGAATCTGAAAGGAATTGAGTGCCGGCGAGGCTATTGAGTGAGGGCCGGTGAAAATCAGTCCAGTACTCCCTTCCACCCTGGTGGCACAGACAATCCAATAAAAAAGTTTAATAGTAAAAAGTCAATGATACACTTACATATGACTTCAAAATTTAAACATTAGTATGATTTATTATAGTGATAAACAATTTTTATGGATATTAAGTAAGCTAATTTTCTTTTTTTTTCTCTACTACACCCTTTAGTATGTGCAACGGTGAATATCAAAATAAACATTATATGGCAATCATTGTACGGTTTCTTTGCTGAATACGCTTCACTAATAACTAATCATACATGAATTGCAATTATATTTCAAAAGCAATGAACATTCCACACAAATTAACTCATTGGTGTTTGAAGGAATAGTTTCCTGATGGAAATAATTTTTAACGGTACCATAAAACTAGCTCAGTGCGAAATACATAGTTGGTAATATACGTATGCTGTGCTTGAGAGTTCAAACATGAATAAAACAATAATTATGCGTATCATAAAGATAATATTTCTAACTCCCTGGTGGTTGCCAGCTGGTCAGTCGATGTCAGAGGAGTGAAGTTGAATGGCGTGTTCCAATACAAACCAACGACCAGACACGTATGATATAAATGTGACTACTGTTTTCAGAGTTGTACGTGGTGCAATGTGACTTTCGCTGTGCCACGTTCGTTACGTTGAGTTAGTAGTTGAGACATGTTACACGCTATCGTTGCAGTTTTCGAACACAGTTGATGTACTACTGAGCACGTAGTGAGTTTCAAAGTTTGAATCGCAGCAACATGATTGAGATTGCACCTCCGGCTGAGGTGAAAATTTTACAATTCAGATCAACGTATGTAAAACTCTGCGCATCATGAATTCAAAATTCACAGTTTGAACTGCAGCAAATAATTGAAAACGTACTGTATACTGACTGCGTGAATTTGGTTGCTGATTTGGCGCTGTTGCTACAGGAATTAGGTATAAGGTACCGCAAAATTCTATTGTAACATTTAGGTTATAAGTACCACTATAAATTCTTTTGACTTCGACCAATGGCCAAGACATTGTACGAGGTTATGGAAAGTCTTTTGTCTTTCTTTTTTAATTTAAAATGAAACAGGCGCGCAAACGCGCCCACCTTTTTCCAAAAATTATTCAACTTTGGAATATACTGGCAGCTTGACTTTATGCATAAGATAATTTGGTATTAAACATCTTGTGCAGCATTTTTTTTTTAAATTACCAACCCAGCTTTTTTTACGACTCACGCTTTTTTACCATTCAATTATATGACGGAATTGGGCATATTTTTGTCCCTCACACGGCGGATTTTTCCAGTAGAGATCTGGCATTCCTGCTGCAGCCCGAGCGTGAGCTTCAGCAGGGTTGCTAGATTTGAGAATTTTGTACCCAAAATAGGGGTTTCTCGTAGTGGGGAAAGAATGGATGTGTATTAATGGACGGGAAATGTTTGGGGGGAATTATTTTCATCCGGAGTCGAATTAGCGTTTTATCAATATTCTGATTAAAAAAATAGAAGTTTTCTCTCATTTTTATGAACCAAAAAGAGAAAAATGAGTGTTAGGCATAGAGAAAGAAAAACGTGAGAAAATCGAAAATAGTTTAGGGCTTGGAACAGCTCAAAGGAAGGTTGATTTGAATTATTTGAATTTATGTAGAGAGTCAAGGACAGCGCATGTTGTTGGTCCATAATTTGAAGAATATTTTTCGTTTAAAGTTGGGGATGTTTTTTCATTGAATTTTTTGGGGGAGATTTCGTTGTAGTGGAGATCTTGCATCACATCTGGCGACCCTTGCGCAGCAGGCGACATGCAAGGGGGGCTCTGCATCAGAACCGGCTCTACCTGTAAGCAGAAAAATCAGACGTGTACACTCTGATCATGATGCAATGACATGGGTGAGCCGTTGCGCAGCCTCTTCGGCTTCTGCCCAAGAACCTCATGCATCAGTTTGTGTCGCAATATTAGCGGGAATTTTAAATCCAGCCAGACAGCAACGGTAGGTGTCTGGCTGGAAGCGAGGGAGGGAGATCTTGTAGGAAGGAATAAACAGCTATACGTAGCGTCATTTGAGCCAGTATATGCGTTATTGCTATCGATCCACTCGATCATTTTGGAGATGGTTATCGTCGATATTTGTTATTATATTGAATATTATTTATGCACTGAGACATTATTCTATACAATATTGTCAAAATAATTATATTCTTCGAAAGTAAATAAATATTTAAATCAATATTACCCATTAAAGGAAGGTAAACAACTCTGGGCCTTGGGGGGGGGGTGTCCAATGCCCCTCTTGATCCACCAGTGTCGATATCGTTTTCAAAACATTCAATAACCCGATCCTTCTTCTTCAGAGAGCTCTGTGCTAGTTAGTACGTAATCTTTATTGAGAAGTAATGACCTTTGTAATGAATAGAAATGAAAATGAAACAAATGCATATTCTTTAATGTTCCTCTCTAAATGAATCTTAAATAAAATTACTATTGATACGGAAATGTTTATTCGCATTTGGTATGAAACATTCCATCAAGCTTGCCGTGATGTATGGATCCGTGGAGTAACCTAAACTACACCACTACACTGTCTTAAATAGTTACATCTAGTAGTTAAAACTGGTTTAGCCACAAATGTTGCCAACATGTCTTCAACAAGTCTTGGTAATATGACATAATTTCTTAAATCCTTGATCGTCGTGCGTTTCCACCGGGTTTTGTATGTCACGTAAATATCGTTTAGTGCTACGTAGATGATACAACCGTAAAAATCCTCATGATTTCTTTCAAATTACGACTATTTTCAACGCACCAATAGTGGGTTCACGTACAACTATGAGGTCGTCCATACATTATGTAATGGTTACAAGAGGTTGATGCAGCGTTATGCTGCATTACATAGGAGTATTAGTTTATGACGTAACATTATTTAGTTTTTTTTTTACATTATTCAACTTTTGCTGAAATAATTTATTTCTTGTTCTTCCTGTCACATTTGAGGTCAGAAGGCCTGATCCGCCTTCACTCATCGTTGCGTTGATCGACCACGATCTCCTTTCCGGCTGGTCGAAAATGGTAGGCCACTTTTGAGAGCATATCATCTTCCATCCTTTGTAGGCGTGTCCACGCTGTACGATTCTCCTTTATTTTGTCTAATGTGGAGAAAATGTTGAGGTCTTTTCGAATGCTTTCGTTTCTAAACTGGTCTACGAGACTACAGCATTTAACTGCTCTTAGAGATCTGTTTTCATAATCTTCAAGATTACTACTTTTCTTTCTCGTCAATACCCATTACTTGCTCCCGTACAGTAAAAGTGGTACTGCCATTACTTTGTACATTTTTAGTTGCGACACATTTCCTTTCTTCGAGAGCGTCTTAACCTTTAGAGCTAAGCGCTCTTATTGTGCAGCACGTTTGTTGGAACTGATGGAGTCTGATATCAATGTTGTTGGCACATTGACCGCCAA